TCCGCTAAAACATTTATATTGCAATATATGACTGATCTCTCGCACTATAAATAGCATAATTACCTGTATTTTAGGCTCTCAAATCAAGTAATATTTTTATCAACTTAAGTAATATTTTTATTAACTTATATATCAAATAATATTTTTGTTAACTTATATTTTAATATATCGTAGTATAAATATTTATTTGAATACAGTAATATTTTAATTTTGAAATTAATCATTGAACGAGAAAATAATATTTTCTTGAATTACTGAGTGTAAAGAGAGAGTAAAAAGAGAGTTGAAAACGATTCTAAATTTAAGAGAGTATTTACTAGAATTATGTAATAAATACATGTACTTCTTTTGCATTGAAGAAAACTAGTGGTTTTATACATCTAGATTTTTCTGTTCGGTAAATATTTCATTCATTAGATGCAATTAGTCACCCTTTACGCGTAAATTGAAGGGTCACAGCAGAATTACAGGGCGAATTATCGATAATCCCTGTGGCATTCAACATGTTAAAAGTTTATGATCTCAACAGAGACCGAAATCGCGGCAATTGCGGAATCTATGAATGCAAACGCGAATAAAGCGTAATAGCAACTACCGGAAATATACATCTTTCTCGAACGCTAGAATTAAACGAAAAATAGGTAGTCAAGGCGACCGGTGATCAACGTGAAATTCAATCATAATGTTAAATTGCATGAATATGGTAATCACTAGGTGTAATCACGATAAGTACGATGCGACTAAATACTTATTTTTGCATTAACTACATTTAAGTTGATCGACGAGGTCGATGAGTATAATGTAATTCACATCATATCCAATACTCGACTATGAAAGTGAAGGTCGCCAAGAAAAAAGTGACGCACGCATTTGCATATTAGCTGATAATACTTATATAAGGTGTCGCGAAACTTTATCCGTAAGAAATTGCGAAACATTTAACATTTAAATTTTTATAAAAATTTGTCGAGATTGATTTCGCGAGAGGACAAACCCTATATTCTATGGATGAAAATCTAACGATTAGATTTAATGATTTAATGAGATGAGCTGACGGATTAAGCGATTGAAAATCTGCTCAATCACTTCTGGTAATTTCGTTTTCAAATTTTAGTATTAAGACGCACAAAAATTACAGTCGATAACATTTTTTTAGTCACCTTGCAAATAATTTTCCTAAAGTTTAAATGAAAAAATGAGAAATCGTGAATTTTTACGCTACATTTACCTATTTGTAACATATTTACAAGTTAAAAAATCGGCCATTATATTGTTCGAAAGAGCATAGATTAAAATCTATTAAATAGATACAAACGTTTTAGTCCCGTTTTGGATGATTTTCAATATGATGCATTTACAAATAGTTTTCGCTCGCATGAAGGACTCTTAATACACAGTACGCAACGATGTCGCAAACAATGAATCTACATTATATCTTCGAGGATGATTGGCCAAAATTTCTTCATATATATTTATTTAGAGTGACAGGTGTACTTATAAATGCATCCGCTATTGAATATACATCATTTTAATCTAACAATCAAGTTCCAAGAGATTCATTTACATACAAAACAGATAACATTATATCTATCTTTTTCCTTTTTTCTTTTTTATTTTTCATTTTTCTTTTTTATATAATTAACACTACATCAGAATACATATTGGAAAAATATGCATCATTGATAACGTACAGCAAATTATAACGTTATAAAAGTTAAAAAATAAATTTTACAGAAAAGTTATATGTAATATTTAAATAATTCTTTGCTTAATAGAATATGATGTATTCGTATTTGCGATGACGACCAGAATCAAAAAAATTATATATAAAAAAATTAATTATAAATAAAAGATGAACGCGAAGAAGATATATATATATATATATGTACGAGTATATATGTATATACAAGATGTTGATACGAATCGTGGCAATTGCGTCATCAGCTTCGACATTTGACGTTAACAAGGTGTTATTAGAGTACAAACAGTTTATAAAAACATGCGATATTAAAAAGCAATATTACAGAATAAATTATAATACATTCACATTGCGATGACGACCAGAATCAAAAAAATTATATATAAAAAAATTAATTATAAATAAAAGATGAACGCGAAGAAGATATATATATATATATATGTACGAGTATATATGTATATACAAGATGTTGATACGAATCGTGGCAATTGCGTCATCAGCTTCGACATTTGACGTTAACAAGGTGTTATTAGAGTACAAACAGTTTATAAAAACATGCGATATTAAAAAGCAATATTACAGAATAAATTATAATACATTCACATTGCGATGACGACCAGAATCAAAAAAATTATATATAAAAAAATTAATTATAAATAAAAGATGAACGCGAAGAAGATATATATATATATATATGTACGAGTATATATGTATATACAAGATGTTGATACGAATCGTGGCAATTGCGTCATCAGCTTCGACATTTGACGTTAACAAGGTGTTATTAGAGTACAAACAGTTTATAAAAACATGCGATATTAAAAAGCAATATTACAGAATAAATTATAATACATTCACATTGCGATGACGACCAGAATCAAAAAAATTATATATAAAAAAATTAATTATAAATAAAAGATGAACGCGAAGAAGATATATATATATATATATGTACGAGTATATATGTATATACAAGATGTTGATACGAATCGTGGCAATTGCGTCATCAGCTTCGACATTTGACGTTAACAAGAAGTGTTATTAGAGCACAAACAGTTTATAAAAACATGCGATATTAAAAAGCAATATTACAGAATAAATTATAATACATATATATATATATATATATATATAGCAATATATAGCAATATATATATATATATATATATCTTCTTCGTACATATATATATATATCTTCTTCGTATATGTATATATATGTACGAGTATATATGTATATACAAGATGTTGATATGAATCGTGGCAATTGCGTCATCAGCTTCGACATTTGACGTTAACAAGAAGTGTTATCAGAGTACAAACAGTTTATAAAAACATGCGATATTAAAAAGCAATATTACAGAATAAATTATAATACATTCAAATGCGCTCTCAGATCTTCGAGTCACTTTCGCAAAATATTAATACCTTACGGAAAATTATCGAGGAACAGATTAGTCATCGAAATGACTGTAAACGAAACGGGCTGTCACGAAATGCGATCCGCAAGTATCAAATAGAATGTTCGAAATATTAAGCCGTCGCGTACTGACTGACCCTCAATGAATGAAAAGACTATTTCATACGTCTCCCGCTTGCTTCGCTCTAATCGCTTGCCTTTATGAAGATTGAACAATACGATTCGATCTCGCTTTGCCAATTAACTGGACGTCAACGGGATTGTGACGAGAAAGAAACTTATTTGCCTGAAACTCCATCAAGTATCAGACGGTAATATAGAACGCAATTAACTTCTGTAATCTTTCATATTATTTTTGCGACACGACCGCATCTTATCAATTTTGGCCTATAATTTGCATTGCGAAACTGATTTTGTAACGTTAACAATTGAAGTGAAACAGACATTGATAACAAATTCGATAGAAAGATCGAGCTGTATTTCCGCGCGTGAAATATGAAATTAAATGACAAAAGATAAAAGGATGACAAAATGACGGCAATATAAGACATCGCGGAACCATCAAGTCGACCGACAAAATCAAGTCTAATTGAAAATAATCAATGGTACGCCACACGGAAGGTTGCAGAGATACTTCATTTATCACATATACAACCGTCTATATTTATGTATACAACCGTTATCGATCATTTGCAAAAGTTGGGATACGTGAATGGTCTTGATGCCGCATGATTTGTCTAAAAAAAAATCTAATCGATCATATTTCCATCCACGATTCATTACTTAAACTCAACGGAAACGTATCTTTTTTTTTTTAATGAATTGTGACAGGCGATGAAACCCGGAAAAATAATATTGTAATTTACCTATAATGTTCTATTGTACCCAACATGTTCACCAACCTTGACCTTTCGAACTACTGCTTATTTCAGTCCTTGCAGAACTTGAACGGCGAGACGTTCACTTCTTTGGAGAACTGCCAAACCATCTTCAACAGTTTTTCGCTGAAAAAACATCCGACGATTTCTACGCGCGAAAAATTATGTAGCTGCTCGAAAGATGGCGAAATATTATAGAAAACAACGGCCTATAAATCATTGATTGAAGTTATTTTTAAATATGAATAAATTTGCTCCAATTTTTAGCTAAAAATACGTTACTTTCCTTCCAAACCAATATTACACATATACCCAGAATTCTTCTATTATTATATTTTTTGCGTATTCATTTATATGAATTAAGTTCCAACAATTTCACTATGTTCATCTCTCTCGTCTTCATCACCATCAACCACTTTTTTATCTTAAACATTATCACCATCTACATAATGTCTATGTAATAAATTACGTACACAATCTAATCAGCATTTATAGAATTTTCTTTACATTGTAAACTGCTCGAATGTGCTACGCCATGTGCACACTTATGATATTTTTCTCTCGATGTCGAGAGGACAAAATTTAACAATAATAAGCTCTACTCTGTTCTGTCTGTCTCTCTCTCTCTCACTCTCTTTATCTACTTACTTATTATCTCTCTGGCGAGCGCGCGTGCGCTTCCCATTGAACTTGTTTCAGTAATCGAGCACATTTCGCATTTCGCCAACGCGCGGCGCGTCCTTCCTCATCAGGGCCCAAGGACGACGAAAGGCTTTTCTTGCTCTGTTAGGCAGCTTCGGCGAAACAGGATCAACGAGTAGCGAGATTTGAAGGAACAAAAACAGGTTTCGCAAGATTATGCACTTCGGCGAGAAAGATGAAAAAAGGAACATAGCTGACCAAAGAGGAAAGGTTACTCGCTATGTGTCCGGCGGGAGGTATCGATGGATGCAATGCACGGAGCCACTATCGCGATATATCACATCTGCTCCCCGTCATGTCTGCATATACTGATCGTTCGGCTAATCTCGTCTACGACACGCAGCAGAGAGATCCCACGATCCCGAGAGATCTTACTGCGTCGTCGTCACGGCGATGAGCTGACAATATACTTGAGGAACGAATACTTGGCCCGTTGCCGGCGCATCGTCCAGTCTGCTTCCGACCATTCGACGTTACATCGTCGACGCGCCGACTAACCGAGGGCGACCAGTCAGCCAGCGTGTCCTTTCCACGAAGTGACACTCTTTGTAAAGACTCTTCGCAAGTCCGACCCGAAGAACCATTTCGAGTGAGGGATATCTCCACGGGAGAACATTGGGGGAATCGAGAGGGATAAAATCGGAATATCCGAGAGATCGCTGGGACTAGAGTGCAGTTTCGAACGAGTATCCGCGAGTGCCGATCAAAGCAGGTAAATTGAATCGACATGCAATAGCAAAGTGATGAATCGAACGGGTGAAAATGCGCGTGCGCGCACGCATGAGAAGACTATTTTCGCATGTGTACGAACCGTTTCAATGTTAGAGATTGCAACAATTCTGTCTTATCTTGCAAAAATCATTTCTCATGCGAGTATTCCACACGTTGTCTGAGATAAGAGACGATTTGTGCGAAGTTGCAATATCTGCGCGAAACCTGTCAACTATAATTTTCCTCAATGATAAACTGTAAAATTGCCAAATGTCAAGGTTGCGATCGTACGACCAGGTAAATATACTACTAATTACACGCATGCGATGCAGTAGTTGAAGATAAGATAAGATGTTCGGGAAATCTTCTTTCGGTGCTTTTTGGTAATTTTTTTGTTCGGACATTGGATAATAAACTCAAAATTCATGAAACAAATAACGCTATAAGAAAATTCTCATGATCTAGATACATATAAACGTGTGGAAATTATTCTGCCATAAAAGAATTTACGTCTTACGACGTATGTCGGTATAATATAAATCGAAATGACCTCGCTCGGCTATAATGATTTTAATTGCTTTTCCTTTCGAATATTAATGAGAGTGATACATGCAATGCATAGTCTAATATGAGACGTGCAGTCAAGTGCAGACTGTCGAGACCTTTCACGTTTAAACATCAATTATATCATAATATTCATACGGCTTACTTGTCGAAAAAATTCGCGGCGGCTGCTCAATCACGAGTGTTGCTGCGTATTACGCATCGATCGGGAAAACTATACGCAACTATATTACAATTCGAGCTGATACTTCCATGTTGACGGTAACGTATCTCGTGGCCGCTCTTATAGAATTAACGTGAGCGTTATAGAATGCGCCCATCAGACGAAATTGCGACTTGCACAACGAAACTCGCGCAGCTGATATGAACGAACGCGCTCGTTGGACTTGCACTTTCGTCTTGGCCGGATAGTAGGCCACATCTGCTTCTCAAACTGAAACAACGTTATATGTAACGCTCGTGTAAGAAAAACGATACTTACAATTAAAAAGGTGATAGAAAATTATAGTCACTTTCGATGCCATATCCATATTTTTCATATTAACCAGAAAGATAATTAGCAGAACCATTTTCTAGTCAATTTGACCATAGTGATCAGCGATCATAACCTTACATGCACGTTGCCATTACTACTTTTTTGTGGTTAAAATCATAGAAATAATTGGGGCCGAAAATAACTATTAACCATAAAAATAGTCGGGAGAATTATCTTTCTAGTCGGTTTTTCTAGTTTTCTAGTTATTATAGTATTAGTGGTAACGTACATGTCGCTACTATTATAAAATATGTTTGGTGCTGCTGAAACTAACTATAATTTTTAGTGCGTGTTTGTTCCGAGATGCAAAAGTCGGAAGATGATCCTGTGTGCCGCGCATCGTGTTCGTTGCCACGCGACTGCTTTCTTTCGGTAGGAATTATCGCAATCGCGAAAACGATAAGGTGCCAATACCGTTTACGATAAGATATTGAAGCACGCGGTAAACGTGCGCACGTGAATTGCACTTGAGCAAATAACATATTTTCCTCCTTTCCTCTCTCTCTCTCTCTCTCTTTCTTGACCGATTCAACGAATAAACGCTGCTATGTAATTAAATCCACAACTATTTATTATTATTCTAAATTACCGCCGTCATCGATCGTTGAGTAATCGGTTAAATAATTGGTTATGCACAAATCTTTACGTTTCCGCCGGTTGATTTACATCAACGAAACTAATGTCAACAAATTATATATCTGACATGTACTTTTTTTATTGCTTATCTGATTTATTGCTATCGATCTCGATAATATTGCTATTAGATATTCAATCGCAATTGAATACCTTGATGTTCAAATAACAACGTAGAATACAGAAAGGTACGCCCACTAAATCGCGTCGTCAGTCCTTGACGCGATTTTTCCTTGACCGGTTTTGACTTGGAACAAGGATCTGAGCAATATCGAGTACAGGAAGAAGAAAAGGAAAACAGCGCAAAGGGGGCATAAAATGGCGAACTCGTCAACCTTGCAAAGTTCGATACGTTCGCTAAGGACATTAATTCGACATTGGCGAGTACACTTCCGCGAGATCGACGAATTCAGTTAAAATGATCAGTTCAAACAAAGAATGTCGGTTGTTTTAATCATGATAAAAAATTAATTCGGCGTGCAAGACGTACCAGGTGTTTTGACGAACCGCACGTGTCTCTGCGACTGTCGCTTGTGAGATAAGTTGATCAACTTGACTTGTCCATCGCGCGAATTCGTCGCACGTGTTTTTTTTGTGATATTCACTTTTAGATTCATCATGCAGCTATTTTAAAGATTTTAATAGCTTTCACTTCTCCATGGGAAGCGGGTTCCATTTGATATTCGAGGAACTTTAATATGTTAATGACGCACATCAGTTATACGTGACATTGAGTTGCGAAAGTGGGAGGGAGAGAGAGAGAGAGAGAAAGGAAGAGCGAAAAACTATGCGACATCGTTGAAATCATTGTTCTATTTTAAGCACACCAATCGACGATACATGTTGAGCGGCTTCGTTCGGTTCTTAACACTTAGACTGTTCAGTTAGTTTCGAGCGTCAAACTAATAAGACCCAAAATTTTATTTGCGCGCATGACCGTATATATAATTAGAATTCAAAATAAACCATGTGTGCACTACGGATTTTAGCAATGTCGAGCTCAGGAAGGAAAAAGAAAGCAGCACAAAAGGAACGTAAGATGGTGAACTCGTCGACCTTGCGAAGTTCAATACGCTCGCTAAGAACGTGATTAATTCGGTGAATAAGCTTCCATCGCCGAGACTGCTGATTGTGTATCATATGTATCCGATGGAAAAACTACAGTATCTATTTTTATTCTTCCATGCACATCCCATATCTCATCGTGTCATCTAATAAACTCTCTTAAGGACACTAGAGCCAATGATTAATGATGACTTGATAAATGTGATAACTCAACAATGTAGAAGTGATTCTTGAAAAGTTATATAACATAAATACTGACATGCTATACTACATAAATGCTGAAGATCACATGCTAGTCTATTTATATTTCTTAAATAAAAAGTTTCCTTCCCCTAGGTCGCACGTAAATGTCATTACGATATAAATGTGAATAAGATGAATGTGTGTTATTCTGTTTTACGGAGAATCTAGTCAAAATATATAAAATTTTTCCTGTAAACTTTCGTATCTTCTTAGCCTTCAATGTACAGTCGTAAAGATAAAGAAATGATCTTTGAAATTTTCCTCATTGAAGCAAACACACATTCGATATGTAGTATCAAGTTACAAAACTCTTATTTTAAATACTTTACTTGACAGGTCGAGATTTCAGTTTTTAAATTTTTTATCGTTTCGTCACATATTAGACACTACTCCCATTCATTTTCGCACGTACTTTCGTTATGTAGAAGCGTTTGTAACTCTGTGGAACTAATAAAACATAAATTTTGCAAAAAACTTAATATTCCTCGTATTCGGCAAAATTTCCAAATATGGCATCTCCCTAATATATTGATATAATAACAATTATGCATGGATTATTTTCCAAAATTTCACTAAAAATATACAGTGGCGGACATATATTTACGTACAGTTAGGAAAATTAAGTTTTATTCATTGTATACTTATACATGAAATAATCAAACAAAAGTCCATTACGTTTATTACAAGTTCATAGCATATATCATGAGATAGCAAAACAATGTTTATTGATTTACAATAACTAAGAAGTTTCTTTTTTTGTTTGCTCAAGTGTCATATTTTCTGCGAACACGTACTTACGTACACTGTGGTAATACACAGATAGGTAAAAATTTCTGCAATGTAAACAATACTTATCAGTATCTATTGAGTAATGTAGGTAGAGAAACGTATTGTGACAATGTTGTGACAGCTGTAATGAGCAAACGAAAGAATATAACGTTAGAACAACGTCGGCAAATACGCAACTTCACAAAAATGGGAAGTCTTATCGGAAAATTTCTACAAAGCTTGAAATATCTGTTATGGCTTGTTATTAAACTATACAACATATTAAACATCATGGAATGTCAGATAATGTTCATCGTAAAGCGAGACCACGAAAAACGGTGAGACCACGGTATGTTTCGGGTCATTATCTGGTTGATAGATTCCATTCTTTCGGCATATATTCTTCAGCAAATGGAAGCAGTACATTTTCTACGATGTTCAAGTACGTAAATCTGTCCATGATTCCTTTTATTCGATGAATAGGACCTATGCCATTAATAGTCATAGAACCCCATGCAACTACTAACCCGCCATCCCCTTTTACAGTTGGTTTTATACAATTCTTGCGATAATCTTCACCTATGCGACGTCTTACATATACTTTGCCATCAGATTCGAATCGATTAAACTTAGATTCGTCAGTAAAAATAATTCGAAACCATTGTTGTTGCGTCCAGTTTAAATATTCTTTTGCAAAAGCGATTCTAGCTCGGCGATTCTTTTCCGATATGAATGGTTTCTTTCTAGCAACGCGTCCATGTAATTGAAATTCATTTAGTCTACGTCGGACAATTCTAACTTATATTTTTATCAAGATCAAATGATATTTCAGCGTGAATATCAACTGCAGTTTTAAATCTATCTGATTCAAATAATCGATGAATCTTACGGTCAGTTCTTATGTCGGTTTATCGGTTTCGTTTTACGAGGAACATTATCTGGCGTTCTATGACGTTTAATATGTTCTATAGCTTGATAACAAGCCATAACGGATATCCCAAGATCTGTCGAAATCTTCCGAAAAGACTTCCCATTTTTGTGAAGTTGCGTATTTGCCGACGTTGTTCTAACGTTATATTCTTTCGTTTGCTCATTACAGCTGTCACAACATTGTCACAATACGTTTCTCTACCTACATTACTCAATAGATACTGATAAGTATTGTTTACATTAAAGAAATTTTTACCTATCTGTGTATTACTACAGTGTACGTAAGTACGTGTTCGCAGAAAATATGACACTTGAGCAAACAAAAAAAGAAACTTCTTAGTTATTGTAAATCAATAAACATTGTCTTTTGCTGTCTCATAATATATACTATAAACTTGTAAAAAACGTAATGGACTTTTGTTTAACTATTTCATGTATAAGTACACAACGAATAAAACTTAATTTTCCTAAGTGTATGTAAATATATGTCCGCCATTGTATATAGGTTTGATCATTTTGTAATAATGTTAATTTTGTTTCGTTTTTGGCACTACTATTAGGGAAACCTATAAGTAATGTCGTTTTTTACAAATCGAATGAACATTGCCACTTTGTTCGCGGACGTGATTTATTATTATTACATGACCTATATACTAATTAAATTAAATTTACTGACACTTAGTGTGCTTATTGTGAAATTTTGAAAAAAATTAAATGTTAAATAAAATAAAATTTTGTATAAGTACCAAAAAGCGACATTACTTATGGGCACACCTAATATGTATCGTGCAAACGTGCGAATATTTTTATTATTTTCATTCTCAATATCTCAATAAATGGTTCATAAAATTATTTCAGTTATTATAAAACTGTCATTTATATATGAGTGATGAGGCGGAAATTCTCGCGTCACCCGTATATGAGTAATGTGACAGTCTAAGTGTTAATTGGAATTCATTTGTTCTTTGTATCACTAAAGACTGATAAAGTACTTATGTATATTTATTATACACTCTAATTGCGGGCTCTAAATATCGATTTCCTGCCGATTAATTTTTTTACGATACTATCGTGGTGCGATCGATGCTATCGCAACATTTTTTCAATGGTTATACACACACACACATAAGCATGCCCGACGATGATATGTCACAATTATCTATTACGCGCAAATATCAATCAACGTTACTTTCAACAACCTCAATCGGAGTGCACATCTCTCAATAGAAACATTAACATTGGTTAACATCAATGGCAAGTTATACATTCGGTATCAACTCCTACGTACCAACGAACGTAAGATAATGAGAAGCAATCGCGTTGGTAATTACAGTTGATCTCACAATATTCGATACTTCAATATCTACTTCAATATCAAAGATAACAAGCAAACCTTGTTCTTTCGCGCTATTCACGCGACCACACATGTTAGTCGCGCGAATATATTGTGATAGAGATTAATTTATAAAATAACCGAAAAGTAGAATTATCTGAAATCAAGAGTTATCTAATACTTTTCTCCATTTTCTTTTCCTGGTATTATTGCATAGCATACGCTCATATATGCAGCAACTCTCGATAACGCAATAATCTAATTACAGATGCGCGAGAAAGGAGAGATAATTGCATATGGGAAAATTCGAGCGCTGGACGTCTGATTGAAGCCACGATCGCTATCGAAACGCTTCGAGGAGGAGAAAACAAAATTGCACACCAAACTCCCCAAATTGATCCGTGATGCCAACAGGAAGAAAAGGAGGGCATTAAGAAGATTTGTGTGCAAGCGCTCTCGGGGAGAAGGCATACGCTACGAGTAACCGTCGACCGAGCAAGTGCGTGCAGAGAGAAAGAGAGAGGGAGCACGCATCAGCGTTTTATGTTAGTCGACTAATTAATTAGATAATTAATTTTAATCGTCGTTCGTACATCATCTGCGGGTAATGAATAGGCTATATTCGTAATTAACATAGTCGGTAGAGTTTAATGAAATAAATCATGGCGTCGTAAAAAAAAAAGAAAAAACGCGCGAAAATTAGAAGATCACCGTTGGCGGAATTTATTATCTGAGTTGACAGTCGGAAAAATTCCGCGAGCAGGAAAAGATCGGCGCTGTGCTGCGACGCACGCGCTTGCTCGATGCGAAGCGATCAGCACAGTTGTAACCGCGATCGAGTCTCTACGCACGGATCATAGATAAATAATTCGCGTGCACGACTGTGTTTATTATGGCGCGTGGCGGAGGAGAAAACTGCCGATAAGTGGGGGTTAAGAGAGATAAAGGAGTAATCGTTATTTCACCGTCGGACAGATCACGAAATTACTCGAGGCGGGTCGATCGAATCGCAAGTCCGGCACAATGGACAGCGTCACACTGATGAACATGATGCGCAATCGGATGATCAACGTCCAATTCAGAGATCTGTCGTACGAGGTCAAACTTGGGTTTTGCAAGCCGCGGAAGCAGATCCTCAAGGGGCTGAACGGCTTCTTCCGGGGCACCGAGCTGACGGCCATCATGGGGCCGTCCGGTTCCGGCAAGTCGACGCTGCTGAACATCTTGAGCGGCTTCCAAGAGGGTAAGTACACAGGAAAGGTGGAGTACCTCGACAGCGGCAGTAAGCAGAAGAGTAACAGCAGCAAGGAAACAAGGAAGCAACTGTGCTATATCCAGCAGACGGACAACCTGCACGGCTTCTTCACCGTCTACGAGATCATGATGATCACGAGTTACCTGAAGCTCAACCGCACGGTCTCGCACGAGTCCCGGCAGATGCTGATCGCCAAGATCCTGGAGACGCTCAGTCTGTCGCAGACCAAGGAGACGCGAGTGAGCCGGCTGAGCGGCGGCCAAAGGAAGCGGCTGAGCATAGCCCTGGAGATTATCGACAATCCGCCGGTCATGTTTTTGGACGAGCCGACCACCGGCTTGGACTCGATGTCGTCTCACCAGTGCGTGTCCGTGTTGAAGACGCTGGCGCGAGCTGGCAGAACGATCATCTGCACGATCCACCAGCCCAGCGCGGCGATCTATCAGATGTTCGATCACATCTACCTGCTGGTGGACGGCCACTGCATGTATCACTCGTCGCCCAACGACACGATCGAGTACTTCGCTCAGCAGGGTCTCCAGTGTCCGCAGTACCACAATCCGGCGGACTACATGCTGGAGGTGGTGACCCGCGAGTACGGCAATTACGACGAGCAGTTGATCGCGACGGCCAAGTGTCTCGACTGGCCGAAGGGTGAGGAGGAGTGTTCGAGGGAGCCGTCGAACAACGTGAAGGTGCTCAACGACGATCAAATGCTAAGCCCGCCCTCGGAGTTGACGCGATTCTGGGTGCTGCTGCAGCGCTACGCTATCTTGGCGTACCGAGACTACTCGACGGTGCGTGTCAAGATCGTCCTCCACTTCCTCGTGGCGGTGTTGTTGGGTCTGCTTTTCGAGCAAGCCGGCAACGACGGCAGTAAGACGATCAGCAACATCAGCTACATGCAGGTGACCACGTTGTACTTGTTCTACACCGGCATGATGCCGGCCGTGCTCAAGTTCCCCTTGGAGGTCAACATTCTGCGGAAGGAGCGCTTCAACAACTGGTACCAACTGAAGACTTACTACGTGGCCACGATGGTGTGCATGCTACCCTTTCAAATAATCTTCGCCTTCATCTACTCGTTCGTCTCCTACTTTATGACCAGCCAACCGCTCGAGTACTCCCGCTTTCTCATGTATCTGCTAGTCGCTATCTTAACCAACCTCACCTCCGAAGCTATAGGCCTCTGGCTAGGCGCGCTTTTCAATCCCATCAACGGGATTTTCATCGGATCCGTCATCGCGTGCATCATGCTGAGCCTCACCGGCTTCATGATCTTCTTCATACATATGCCTAAGTTCTTTAAATATATCAGCTACGTGAACATACACCGATATATCTTCGACGGCCTGGTCTACGCTGTCTACAATAATCGTGAGAAATTACCTTGTCCAACCATCTATTGCCACTATCGGATGCCAAATACGATATTAGAGGAGCTCAGTATGTCCAAGTCAATATTTTGGGTCGACGTTGCCATATTGTTCGCCTTTTTAATCATGTTCCGAATATTGGCTTATGTGACGCTGAAGAGACGACTGTCGAAGATAGATTGAAAGAAACAACACGTCGAGTATAAATGCGCGACTCACTTGGTGAGACACTCCGTAGCCTCCGCGAACGACGCGTCGTTTTCTTCGCACGAGTTGTGGAAAGAGCGTGTTGCAAAACGCGTCGTCGATCGAGTTACATACTCGAAGTCACGTAACCTCAATATGGCTGTGACAAGGTAACGTTTTTACCGTTTCATTGTAATCGTTTTTACTTCTTTTTTATTCCTCGGAAAGTTATTCGTAGAGTAGCGAACACAGTGATGGGTCTTGAGCGCAGCCGGGGGATATAACGAACGGAAATAAGTTCCCCGTCCAGCTGGAAGTAAAAGTATCGCTCGCAATCGGACCTTTTCTGACCCGGTTTCTCGTCTTCGCTAAATCCGCGCGCTAAAATGCGGAAGAAGGGACGACGGCGTGGAAAGCGAGTCGTGACACCGCGAGCGTCACTGCGCGCGCGGCGACGCTTTCACACTACTCACACTCCGAGTGACGCGTGCCGGACGATCCGATGAGCATCGCGAGATATTCGAAGCGATTTTGATCAGACCACGCAGCGAGACTCGCATTTTGTCATTCCGCAATTCTCATCTGCAGCATTGTATATATCATTTTCTTTCATCGCTAAGAACCGTCCATGCAGCGCGGATATCGATCTGCAGATCGATTTAGGATCTTCGATCGATATTGTCGTCGTCGACGAAATAGGAAAGGAAGAACACTAGCAAAATCGGGATATTTGCCGAAATGATCGCATTTGGATATTGTATTATATATTTTCCAAGGTTGGGAAATAACGTGTTCAAGCCCAAATTTCTGTACAGCACATAGCGCATAAGAGAGTCAACTAATCAAAAATCCCCAAGATGAAAATAAAGGACTTTGGTTGATTCTCTTATGCATTATGCGTTATGCAGAGGTCTGCGCTCCAGCCTTTAGTTGTAACGTCGTTACAGTTATTTTTTTTCAGTAACGATTTGATAACGACATCACATTTTTTCGCCAATAACGGTAGTGGTAATGCAGTTACATTTTTTGGATAACGGATATAACCGTTACTTTTATCGTTACTTCGCACAATATATATATATATGAAACGAACATAAGTGAATCCTCAAAGAAAAGCCTTCAAAGCTCGATGAAAGAGTAATAACTCGCTACTTCTTGAAGAACAATAACGATAACGAGTTACTTTTCAAAGGTAATTTTCCTAACTCTGATACAACCGCTGTAACAAATCGTTTATTAATTTAAGGTGAAATCGTAATGTACTTACTACGTTATCACTCCGAAAGTAAGGATATATATTAGTCGTTAAGGGCTGAACATATCGACAATAGGTAACAACCCAGTTAATGCATTCAATTACTGCTATATAGCTTAGGAATACAAATTTATACAACGAAAGTGTTATAACAGTTATATTACAATTTTATAATTTTACTGTCTCTTTGTATATAACTACTCAGTCAACACATTCAGTTGCTGCTATATAGCTTGGACATAAAAAGTTACATAACGAAAAGTTACATAACGAGTATGTTATATTATAACAGATACACTACAGTTTTTGTTAATTTACCGTCTTTTTGTTTTTGTGTACGTTTCAGCATATTTACGTAGTAGAGAGCGTCACAGCTTTCTGATTTTTCCGACAGCTGCTTGAGAGTAAAGATATTTTCTCTCTTAGTTTGTACTTGATATAGGACCACACGTTCTCAATTGAATTCGCATCTAGGAACGATATAGGTCAATTAATTTTGATGATGCCATGTTTAGTTTTCCATTCTGTGCAAAAGCGACTCCGACGTTTGGGATTGTCGTTTTCTTGAAGCTTCCAAATGTCTCTATTTTTTCCATAAAATTTCTCAGCAGATGCCGACTAACATTTCTGGTAAATATACACTCATGTTTGTCAATCCCGAGTAATAAGATCATCCACCGGACAGTTAAGCATCCGATATTATCCGATTAAGACCCATGTTTGGGAGTGTTTCTCTAAGCATAATTTTGGTTGCCTCTATTCGTTTACTGACAACCTAAACGCTAAACGTCGTCTGTGTACAGCGTGGAAAGAGGAAAGTGGCACAATGACCTTAGACTGACTTGCGCAATCACCGGATACGAATTCGATTGAAAACGTTTGGGGTTTTATGAAGCAGAAATTACGGGGAAAATTTGTGTGCCATACAATTACCACAATAGCCCGTATTCTGAACTCTCTTTTATCAATAAAAGTGTCTTTAAAAGTATCTCCGCTTGTGAGCAAGAATATAAGTGCAACGTTGACTTTCGCAAATAGGGGAATAGCAAAGGAGGAACGCTGATGAAACTAGCATTAGTTGAAATTACCGGATTTAAGTATTTTTTGTACAATCGCTACAATATATTTTACGAGGAAGGAACTTAGGGGGAAATTGTAATATATCTACGACGTTATCACTCCGGAAGTAAGGTTGCATATTAGCCGTTAATGGTCGAACGCATCGACGATAGGTAACTAATGCTGTTTGGAACTTACGTGAAATCCTCGTCTCTAATAAATCATCATTCTTTACACGACGCCTTGCCTCTCTGACTCCCTCGACCGGGCGAGATTATATAACGATGTGTGCAATTATATTCTCCATACCTATAAGGAACGAAGTGGAGGAACGATAAAACAGCGAAAGGTACTTTTCTCTCTCTCTCTCTCTCTTTCTCTTTCTTTCTCCCATGTGCAACGCGCAGGTGAAACGTAAGAGCTCGGGTCGGAGGTTAAAAACCACCGAGTGGAATCTGCAATAGGATTTCTTCATCGCGACCGGGCATATTTAGGCGGCTCGTCAAGAGCCGCCGCTGCCATCGCGGTATCTGCGGTCGTGTAAATAATTTTGCAATAACATTATACAATAGCGCGCAACCGTGCAATACCGGGAATTGAGAAACAGTCAAATTAATACCTTTCACCGCGCCAGATGACATTACCTGCGTCCAACCGTCGTCCGTGAGGCAAGCTGACGACTTACCCGTTGATGATGACAATGATGATAATGAGCGGAGAACACAACGAACCGTCGTCACACACCGCTTGAGTTCTCGCGGATGTAATTAATAAGTTTATTTCTGCCTCACGCTTTTCCTTCCTTTTCTCCTTTTTCCCCTTCTTCTACTTCTTCTTAGGAAAGGAGGAAAAGGATCGGTGACTTATCGAAGGGGTAACAGCGACGTGAATCCGCCTGGCCTTGCTTTCGCGATGTGAAGTGCCAGAAATGTAAGTTCCACTGCGATAGACTACAAACGTTTGCCGTGCGCTGCGACAGTCGACTGACAGCGTGTCCTGTGTGTGTATCGAGCCTGTCCCTTCTCGCTGAACTAGTGTATATTTATAGAACTTAAAAAGAGAGAGATATACAGATAATACTTGACGGAGGAAAGAGGAGAAAGGAGCTAGTACGAGCTAATACAGCCAGTCCAGCGAGAAAGAACAGACCTATTCCAATGAAAAACAATCACAGATCGTGACAAGAATATACTCGTTAGGATTCTAATGGTACCTACATTATTGTGCGTATATATATAGCTGAAGTCGTAGTTCTGCGTATAATAGTGCAATATAATTGAACTTAAACCAAGACGTGTCATATCGTGTAGGAGCAAAATGTAAGACATAAATGTGGATATCGTCTAGAATACTGAGAGAGTACAATATACAAAATAAAATAACGAGTGAGAAAGAAAAAAAAGGAAAGGGGGGAGGGGGGCAAACAAACGACCGTGAATGCAAGGTGTATCGAAATTATTATCGTTATCGTTTCGTCAAAGGAGAGAGAAAAACGCGTTGCGACATATCGCGCCGTAGAATGCCAAGCCGACACCGTGTGATTATGGAAAAAATGGCACATTTATTATATTAATGATAGGTAATATTACTAGTGATATAATTACATATTTTTTTTCTTTCTCAATCGATACACTTGTTCACTCTCTCACACACGTATACACACACTCTCTTCTGTCTCTCTTTCTCTTTCTCTCTCGCATTCTCCCACTTGCACTCTCTCTCTCTCTCTCTCTCTTTTGCTCTCGCGCTCAGTTTATGTATTTATATTCATCTCGTACTTCATTAATATTAATAATCGCAATCCGCTTAATCGCATGTAGGGTCGAAGAGATCGGTTCTCAACAACATCTTCCAGGCCCGTTCACACAAACTGCCTACAGCCCTTATCACTTACGCGTTAATCCTCCCGTTTTTTTTCTTTCCCTTTTTTTTATTACATATGATACAGTACTATACGCCTAATATAGTTTACACCTTATGATATGATAATTATCGATTCGCAATTGTGCCGACATAACTGAACCCTTACGCAATTAGACCGCGACGCAGTAGTCCCTCTCGCGTCTCTCACGCCGATATTTAGTCGCCTAACAATAATCATCATAAATCGATCCATGTCGCGTGGGGGTTTTACAACCAACTCGTTATACCAAAACGAAAGCGTGCACGCGCATGTGAGAGCGCGTGTCCGCACAGTACCGTTCACACGATATGCGCGTCTACTCGAAAATAACGTCGTTATCGTCATCGTCGTTGTTATCGTCGTCGTCGTCGTCCTTGTCCTCATTAAGAGAGTTATCATCTTGTCTCATTTACAAGGTCTGTGTGAAGGGGCCTCCACGTCTCACGGCCGATACCATTTCGACTTCGACCCCCCGGTTGTAGACCGTCGCCCCTCCTCCTTCGGCTTCTTCACTTTGACTATCTACGACTATCGACAAGTGTCTAGCTTAGACTGGCTTACGAGCTATTTATTGTCGTTATTATTTTACATGATTACCTTCGCGAGTACAAGTGCGTGATCGTGTAGTTTTTTTTTCTTTTTTAGTTTAGTGTCTGTGTGAGCGGCTCTCTCTCTTTCTCTCTCTCTCTCCCCCTTTCCCTCCCTCTTTGCAGTTTGTCACAATGTACAATTGTCGTCACGTTCTCCCTCCCTCTTTCTCTCTCTTTTTTCCTTCCATTCATTCTTCCTCCCTCCTTGCCTCTCCTCTTTGTCTTTCATCTTCACTCCCGTTTCTCCCTCGTCATTAAGTATAATTTTATAAAGCGTCGCCCGCGACGACGCGGGGGCATAGTTAATAATTATTAATTTTATGGGTGGAGCGAGGTTGCGCGAGTTCTTGCTGATCAGATTGTCTACAGTTCTACGGATCCTGATCGATAACGAAAGTGACTTCTCTCTCGTGATAGTTCTATGATCTAGTGAGGACATGTGAACGAGCTTACAGCTTAGAAAAATCAACGTCGGGACAATCTCGCTAATCAGTCTCGCTGTCCGCTATCGTCGATCGGTTTCGACAGGTCCGGAGAGCGAGAGGCTTCGAAGGTATTCACGGTGTGTCGCTCAGAGTAGTGTATCAAACGTTACATCGGAGTATCGACGGTACTTCATTCTGTATGATTGTGTTCCGATTCGTGACGCCGCGATTTTTGACTCGAGCGCGATTTCGCCGGCCGCAGCGAATTCGCAAGAAAACATCTCTCGTCGGATGTACTTTGTTAGGATACTTCGCACAACAGAGGCAGGCACTCGATCGTTATCAAAGACGCAAGTCCCGATTGGCTAATTGAGCGGGAAAAAAAGCCGGCTTGACGTTGGCCGGTCGGATCTTATTTTTAAGGTCGTCTTATGTTCATCTTCAGATGCATCCGTACGGATCGTTTCGTCGGCTACACTGCATCTGAGGATGAACCTAAGACGATTTTAAATGTAAGACCTCACCATCTCAGCCATTGTGTCTCTCAAGAATAAAATTATCGGTGATGACCGCAAACGCGTCATTTGGATCGTTCGGCTCGAAAGAACGTCGTTACAAGAAAGAATGACGGGGTGTCGGAGTCTAAAAAGCGTTTGAGAAAAGAGAAAATATATCTGCACACGCACATTTACAATAAATATAAATAGACGATATGTTTCTGGCGTTTTTTGATATGAGTTTAAGTTCGCGAGGGTCGACGAGGAAAGAATTCGTCGCGGAGACCGCGTGGAGACAGACATGTGAAATTCTTACAGTCATTCGTGATCTCTGTAGAGATCCTGCCATGCTTTTGAAGAAAAATATAGCTTCGCACGGAGCGGGGGAGAGGGAAGGGGGAGGAAAGGATTACTCGCGGATACTCCCGGAAAGGTGCGCGAACAGAACAAGCGAAAGAAAACAGAGCAGAAAAGAGGCGGAGATGAACACAGCAGCGGGCAACATTCGATACGTCGTCGTCGTCGTTCTTGTTTTCAATAAAATTTATTTAAGAATCTAAATAAATTAAAATACATGGCAACTGGGTACATATACGTTGAGCTATATTTTTGTTCAAAAACAAAAATGTCCCGTTCTCTCTGCTCTCCCTCTCTCTCTCTCTCTCCCTCTCTCTCTCTCTCTCTCCCTCTCTCTCTCTCTCTCTCTTTCTCATGAAAGATCTCGTCGGCGATTTAATTAATTGATAATAATTAATGATAATTAATAATTAATAATAATTAATCGTGATTATGACAGGTCTGGGCTGTTCTCGCACTCGATGCGAGCTGAGTTGCGCGATTCTTAAGTCTCGGACCCAATTCCGCGTCTCATTCGCGTGTGCTTTCGTTCGTTTCGATGCTTAACTCCTTCCGTTCCGTTTGATCTAGCATTTCACCGTACGCATAAGTACAGAAATCTCGACCGTATAACAAGTGGCAGGGACAAAACGCAGGAAGAGGAGCGTGTCGAAAAGATTAGAGAGGGTCCAGAGTGATTCGATGATGTACCAAAACCAGTGTCATCGAAAGACCGTCTTCTTTCTAACGGTGCGGCATTAAGAGATTAAAAAAAATAAAAATAAAAACAGAAAAACCGCAACATGAAGCGTTTGTAAAGTTGTTTTTGTGCGTTCGTTAAATGTATCGATATCGTATGTCTCACGTCAAAGAATCTACCTCGCACCAGGTATCGTAATTATTTTCTCGTCACGTGCTCATGTTTTGGCACATATAAATGCTTGTCAATTCCCGATGACAACATATTGCAACGTATAATTATACACGGTCGTCAATCAATAGACGTCAGCGTAAAAGTAAAGTGGGCGAATTGTTGATTCGATAATTTTCTTCTTTCTTTTTTTAAGGATCCTACATGCATTTTTCTCTGCAGCCACACGGATTTACTGCCCAATACGTATGTGCATGTATATACATTGTATGTATATATACATATATATATATGTATGTATGTATATATATATATATATGTATATATATATATACTTTCCTCAATGCCGCAACATTCGAGATAATCCATTTCGGAGTTATATTTCGTGTAGCCGTGCCGGAGGCACGGACGACGAGAGATGTAATTAGTAAAAATGATTAATATATAATTCGAAGGTGTCCTAAATACTTCTTAAATTAATATTCGTTGATCGCTCTTAAATTAAAAGTCATACGACCGATGATTAGAAATAAAATGTAATGTCAACGTCCTAAGGATCTATATAAGAAACGTTCATCCGACATAATATAAAACAAATCTTTAAATATTATCTTATAAATGTATGGTTTTTTCCGGTTTTGGGCACGGATCGTTCACGCTATTTTACACAATCTGAAAAAAGAAAAGTTATTAAAATAGTTCATCGATGAAAAGCGATTTACATATATTAATGAGCACGCATAAATTACGCTTAATATAAACTAAGGTTGAATCTCGTTCAGCCTGATATTAAAATCAAAAATGACCTAAATGGCACTTTAAATGTACATAAATGGCATATATATACATACACACAGGATGTCCCAAAATTATCGTATATATACTTTAATAGCATATGAGAGTTTAATTAGAACTTAATTCGAGCCGAAAATCGTACAAAAATTTTAAATTATTATTTATCATAACTTACCAACTAATATTGTATATCTCTGTAACTAAATTTTCAATTAAAATTCTGTTCAAGTATATATATTTCGCTTAAGAAATTAGCTAAAAAATATAACTTGGTTATCAATACAAAAAATATTGATGAGACATTTTTTGTATTAGAATTTTCAACTTCAATTAACAATTTACTTGCCAATCACTTGTTAAAATAGACTAAATATTAAAATAGTTGAAAATATTGAGTTACGAAATTAAAGTATTATATGTTTACAATATAAAATACATAATTAAAGTATTGTACGATCATTTTTTTAGGACAGCCTGTAAAATTAAATTTCAGCGTTCGAGCGTAGCGAAATAAATATATGCCGAGAACTTCGTTAAAATAATCTTCGCGGTTATATATTTAGTTTCCTTCGCGATAATAATGTAAAAGAGAAATTTCAATAGCTGGGGAGTATTGTAGATAGCGCGATGTCGTGAGAAACTCTGGTTACACCATTTGAAAATCACAGCTTCTTTATCGCACGTCGTGCAAAATACTTACAGTCGAAATGTCCATCATTATTCTTTTAATATTCACGGAGGACGAATTTGCCGAATCGAAATGAATCGTGTACGCGTACTCGGGAAATCCGTCCTCTCCGTTATTTTCCCTAAAATCGAGTTGCACGCGTCGAGAGAGAAGCTGCAAGCACCGGAAAGTACGACTTTCTCACGACACCGCAACAACCAGTTTCCGAAGTGGATGGGTGACGGTGGGTATTCCGTGTGCTTTCTTGCGAGCGTGAACGAACCGCTAGCATCTTCGATTCACACTCTAGGACGCTCGTAAACGATAATCTCTATATACAGTATCTTCAGTGTCTAATGATCAACATAAAGGCGACACAGTTCATACGTTATATACATTGGTGACGTACTACGTTCTCCGTCGAGCACGAGGGCCTGCAAGAAAACTTGCGGAATTTTGCAGACCCTCGCGATTTATGAACGCGATAATGAATCGAATTCACGGGGGTCGAAGAGGCCGCGTACAACAAAGTATCACAATGCGCGAATGTCAATTTCGATGATGGAAAAGAGTGAAGCTTGGGCAGAAGGGTTTTTTTTCTTTAGACTGGTTCTGGAAATATGCTGCCTTTATCTTCATCTTTAGTCAACGTGTACGTTTGTGTGTGTGTGTGTGTATGTGTGTGTATATGCGTGGGCTCTGTTTTCCCGCCAACTCGAGTAGTTCTCCTCCTAGCTATTGCGCGCTATAACGCAACATGTTAATAGTGTATACACAGAAGTGGGCAATTTAACATGAGTCAGTAGCGAAGTTCGACCGTTAATAAAACCTCGATCGTACTACACATTATATATCTCGAAAGAGAGGAACCATATTCCTTTGTTTCTTTTTCTTTTTCTCGCTATTTATAAAAATAATTTGAAGCCGCCTCGTGGGGGTGGGGTAGATGCCTCTTAAAACTATACATGCGCGCGCTATGCTTACATATGGGCATACGAAAAATCTCTCTCTCTCTCTCTCTCCCTCATTCTTTCTTTCCTTCTTGCTTGCTTTAGCCCGCGAACGCGTAAAAGAGCTGCTGCTGCAAAAAGTTATGGGTATTATCGGTGCCGCTCCTTAACTGTAATATTCTAAGACTTTTCCTCGATCACTGTTCGATAAATCGTGATTTCAAAGGATGATGTGATCCAAGGCTTTAAGTAGAATCATACAAAATACTAATATACAAACGCTACTAAGTAGTAAACGATATATGTAAAACAGGACCGGCTAAACGGATTTCTTATATTCCTCTTCCTCCCTCCCTTCCCCTCTTCTTCCACCCTTTCCTTCTCTATCGCCTCTTCGTCTACGAATGCGACGCCATCACGTATAATATTCACAATTTTCTGCGCTTTTCTCGCGACTCGCGCGAGCAGAAAGTATTTCCATATGGATATGCAAGTCATATCGGCAAAATATGTCGATTTTAAGACGTATCTACCCCTTAACACAGAATGACACCGCCACTGAGCCGCTGCTACTGCGGTTGCGGTGGATTGTGCTGAAGGGAAGGCTGCGGACCCTGGAAAAAGAAAAAGAACGACGCGTGTCTCGGTCAAAGGCGTCTCTCGTCAGGTAAGAGTTCGTCTTACGAATTACTGTTCGTGAGATCTTACGGGCAAGGCGGGGAAGGGCGCCTGAGAGTGTGCATGAGCATGAGGATGCGGATGTGCTATGTGCGCCGCGAGATGGCCCGGCAACTTGGGACCATCCTCGGCCTTTTCCTCCTCTCTTCTTTTTAAGCACGCAGCCTTCGGATTAAGGTTTCGCTCTGCACAGAAAGAGACGAAGACAATGAGAAATTAGTGTCTATAATACCGATCGTAAACGGCGCGCGATCGTGATCACTGCGAAAATCGATACGCACCTCTGACTTGCTGCTCGAGTGTCATTATAACTTCGACAGCCATGTTGAGAATACCGAGCTTCGTCTGAGGTTTGTCGGTTTTTAAATGTGTCATACACATTCTTCCTAATTCCTTCAGGGCTTCGTTGATGTCCCTGATGCGTATCCTATGACGAAAAATGAAATTTAAGCGTTTCGAATTTCAATCCTCTGTTATTAGACTAATGATCGATCAGATGTTTTCTTTTCAAGGTTCCCGTTTCCTCGAAGATCTGCGCAGCCATATCTTGATTAATGATGTCAGAAGCAAGGAAAAATATATCCAAAATTCCGATGGAACACGCTGGAATAAAAGGATATGTCCATAAAATGATACTTATAGTGGATTGAGAGAAAGAGCACATTTGTAAAATATTTCGGGAACTTTCCTCTTATTTGGACAAATAAATTAAAAATAGTTGTAAAATTAACGTAACAAAATTATAAAAGAAAGATTGCATATTATGGTTATTTATTGATTGTTAGAGTAAAAGTCAAATTTTCGGACTATTTTAATAAATTTTTCTATTCGATAGGATCTACAATTTATAGAATCTGTCATTTTATAAATATATTTTCTTATTTCAAGGTATTTCGCAAACACTTTAAACATACGTTTTCCCACTTCTGACGTCATCAAACAAGACAACTGCAGCGCGGGAATCTTAAGTCTCGAAATTCAAAGACCAGAGTGTGAATTCTTAGTTGTCTACTACGTTCAATACACTGATGGAAAATTAGTTACTTTGCCAATCATATTTTATAGTAGTAGCAACACGTATGTAAGATTATTATCACTGGCACTATAGTAACATTTACTAGAAAAATGATTCTCCTATGTTTATGGTTATAATCGAAAAGTGGAATATAGTTGGCATCGAAAGTAACTATAATTTCCCATCAGTGTAGCTTTTGTACAAACGCAACAAAATCTTTCAACGTATACTTACTCACTCATTGCATTAAGAGAGAGACATTCATCTCGTGTATAATTATTACGATAGAAGTTAGTGCGGTAAATAGAGCAAGAGAATCGTGAGAAACATAATTGCGTGATATCGTGCATCTCTTGAACCAACTCCCTATATATCGATAAAAGTGCAATATATTATAAAGTATGAACATGCGACAGGAGGAGATTTCTCGTCTCGTGTGTGCATCGAAACATGCCGATTTCTCAAGATAATATGTATACACAGTAATAGAGGCAGAAAGAAAGAGAGATAGATAGAAAGATAGAGAGAGAGAGAGAGAAAGAGAGAGAGAGAGAGAGAGAGAGAGAGAGAAAGTAACGTGCCATATATTTGATCTCTCGTCGTCATCGTGCACGGCACTTTCGGTATCACTACGTTGGATACATTGTTATGTCACATATACATAGAATACGGGCCGCTGTTTTTACCACTGAACGCGGAATCATGATCTCAAATTGCATTAAATCGGTCAACCGGAACGGGGAAGAAATTCGATTCACGCGTGTGTCTCCGTATAACTCATTGAGCTTACCTCTCCCTAGCGTTATTAGCTTGCCGCCTTTCTTTCTCCCTTTGTGCCTTCATGTCGGGATCGTCATCTTCGTCCTCGGCGCTCGAACAACAGTTGCGCAATAACAATACGCGATTAATCACCTGGTGTAACTTACGCTAGTCTATTGTTCGTTTATCAGTGGCCTAACTGGCAATCGAATTGCTGATGAAAGAAAAAAAATAACGCGCGTGACACGCGCAGTCGCGGAGAGATTGTCGGATAAGTACTTCTGACCCGCTAAACCGACGTCTGATCGCCTAATCGTTGTTCGAGCAAATTCGTATGCTTTTTTTCTTTTCTCTTTTCCGCAATATGCAGCGATAGCTAATGAACACACGCAGGTAGTTCTCATAATTTCGAAATTGTGGATAAGTAAACAGGTCACGAATTCGTAGGCCCGTATTCTTTGCACAGAACAAACAATCGATAGCGCGAACAATCGCGCCAAGGGACAGTTGTGAATACGTGTGTGTGTGTGTGTGTGTGTGTGTGTGTGTGTGTGTGTGTGTG